AATATACCAAATGACCACCTGCTTTTGTAAACTTGTTGATGGTCCTTTATCATTGTAATTCTTTTTGATTTCTGGTGTTTGTGATATAATTCTTGTACATTTTATAGTTTTCCTTAACCCAGTGATACCATGGGTGGCTTTTATGTACATCTGAATGTAATTGTAATTACATATAGATTGTTCCACAAGCTCATAGTCTTGAAAGAGCTCATTAATGTTCCTACTTACCTCACCACCTTGATTTCTGGAAATATTCTTTTTTTATTATATATATTGGTATTAGTGTTATTGATTATGAACACAGTAATAATTATAGTGCCAATAATGATAATTACTGCCACAATAGTAATAGCAATGGGAATAAAACCCTGTGGCCTTGCACTTGTAAAGCCATCTGTGTTTAAAAAGCACTTTACAAAATGTTACTACAGTGAACATTATTTGTTCCCTGGAGCTTTGGGTTAAGATCAGTGGCTTTGCTTCAGACTTTTCAGGAGATGGAAGTAGATTAAACAAAATAAACATGCACTAATTTTTATGTGCAGCTTGTCATATAAAACTATTAATATGAATTAAGGAAATTTCAGTTTTGTGGATAAATGCAAAAGCTGTCTCTGCTAATCTGTCTTGAATTTTAGATAGTGATCTTCATTCTTTTTCTTTTAACCTGAGATACCTATTCTGTAGAATTCCTGAATTTTGATTGAAAGTTTGTAGATACATGCATGACTTAATTTTTCCTGTTTGATGTTTATAGATATTTATGACTTTTGTTTTATTTTAGCTGTTATATTTCATAATTTTGTTAATATGCTTCATTGCTTATTGCAATTTGAGTATTAAATCCTAATTTTTTCCATTATTTTTTAATCCATTTAGATTCATAGCTTGAGCCAAGGGAGCATTATGTTCATTTAATTATCAGACTAAAATAAGCAGAAAATGGGAATGATTCACATTTAGAGTGGATGATGCTGATTTATTCTACCATTACCATCAGGCTTATATGAGTGAGACGAGCAGAATAATCTTGGGATAAAGGTCTTCTAAGTTATCCAGACTTATCCGGAAGCCAAGGAGGCACAGCTTGACAAGGAGAGCTGTGAAGACGCTTGAGGATTTAACCAGCTTTAAGAGAGAATCGCCTTCGCAAAATTCCAAGATTGAGGTAGAGGTTTTGTTTTCTTGGTGGGAATAGCCTGTAGCAACTTTTCAGAATGAAGGTGAAGGGTGTCTGTCATGAGGAAGAGGTTCATGTTGCAGGTTGCAGGTTATATTGTCATTAGGTCTGTGTCATCAGTTTTTATAATTAATTATAGATTGTATTTTTGTTATTAAAATGATATTAGTGTTATTTATAGTGTATTATTTTTTTGTCTGGAGTACTGACAATTTAACTGGTGACAGTAATATTCTAAATAATATGAAGTCGTTTTATATTTTGACCATTGTATGATATTCCTCCTCACTTCTAGAAATCTTCTCTCATCCCCTCCCCTCTAGAGAGGCTGAATTAAATTAGGTTCTGTGTTCAGCATTTTAATTCTCAGGGAGAGGAAGTGAGGCTTACACATATTGATATACTGAGAAATTAGACTATTGAAAAATCTTAAAGAAAGGGATTGAGTACATATAAAAGAAAGTCACATAAGTAGATTTAAGTGTCTTAAGATTTTTATCATGGAATTCATGCTAATATATGTGAAACACTTATGTGAAGATGTTTATTTATATTTTACCATAATGATGAACTGTGTATTTAGCATTTGCTTAGATATAGAATTCCATAGTACTGCATAGTTAAGGTAAAAAAAAAATTCTGGTTCTGCATTATATTATACAGTACACTTTTATTGAAATTAAAATGTCCCAGGTATTTTTAAGTTGTTTTTATTGTTTATATTATTAAAAGACAAATTGTCTTCCTTTGTTGAAGTAGAACTGTTTTAGAAAGTTAATGAGTCTTTAATTTATAACTTAGTAGCCATTCCTTAAAGATTTTAAATAATGAATTGTTGATAGTATTAAACTGCTGCCACTGGGGATGGCATTTATGTACAGTCAGAAAAATGAGTATCATTACCTTTCTTTGTGGTCAGTGAGGAGCTTGAATGCAACTTTTGTTTAGCCCCTCCCATGGCTAGTGTTGCTTTATGACGATCTCTTTACAGTATTCAAAAGCCGAGACTGATGAACCAAATATTATGAGTTTGCATTTTGATGACCATGGGATATTTTGTATATATAATTCTAAAGATGGTTTATTATCTAAAAAATAAGAAGTATTTTGCATTATTTCACTCATATTATGACAGATGGCAAATAAGAACAAAACATATTTATTATCATATTCAGTACCCATTTAACAAATCAAACGATTAAATTGTTATCAAGTATATACATAGGTATAATGTAAGGCAAGATGAAATACTGCATGACCTCTGGTGTCTGTGGTTTGCATAAATCAGTAGCAGGTTCGTTATGCCTCAAATGGGGATTTAAATGCTTCAGAAAAGTTGGCAAATGCTTTGCATTGGATGCCTCTTAAGTTAATATGGATTTAGAATGGTATATGCACTTTAAGTACCATAGCCTTGCAATTTGCAAGAAGCTATGGTTACTCACGTTGCGTCTTTTGGAGGCTGTTCAGGTTCAGGGGGAGGGAATATAACTTATTGAAATTAAAAACTTGTATTATTTTCCTTTTAATCAACATACATATTAAAGAACTAATATATACCATTATAAAGAAATTCATGCAAGCAGTTGCACAAAAATAACCGGGAAAAATAACTTTATAAAGACATAACTGCTCATTTGTCATACTGTTGACCTCTGATAAATCAGAAAAATATGAAATGGTGATTACCAGATTTTGATTTTTCCATATTTAAAAACAAATTTTCAGCAGGGCAGTGTGCAAAAAAAAAAAAAAAAATTTTGAAATGTTTCAATGTAACTGAAAACTGAATTTGTCTTGCTTGTCTTTTCCCAGGGGGGACAGGCATGGAATTGCAGAAAATGGGGGTTGTAGGCAAGATTTAGCCCTTTGATACAGCCCTTATTTTTGCTCATATCAAAAAAAAGGGTGTAAATATGTGTTGACACTTACAGAAATAAACTATTAGACAGTTCTTATAGAACACTGTTCTCTTGAACTTCAATATACATTCATCTCTTCCTTAGCTCTAAACTACAAGAAACATAAAATTCAACAAAAATGTAAACTTTGTTAGTGCCATTTCTTGGTGTTTGATTGCATTACTCTTTACTACTACTACTACTTTTAAATTTTACATATAGATAATGAACATTTTTATACTGATTTCAATGCCTACAGCACTTCCATATATTTTTCATGTATCAAAAGATATACATACATTCATAAGCTTACAGGGCTAACTGGCTTGCCTCACTGTTTTACAACATTTTGTCGATTTTTAATTTTAATTGATGAAAAAGGTAACTTTTTCTTCTTCTTCTTCTTCTGACTGTACATGCCATGCTTACTGCTAGTTTAGTTCATTAATTGCCTTTACACATAGATGGCTCCTAATGTGCAAGAAATTCATAGCATTAGCCAAAAAAAAAAAAAAAAAAGGAAGATGAAATCAGATGAGGTCACAAGGTCTACTAAGTGACTCTCTCATGGCTAAGCAGTTGTGGTGCCATCTATATGTAGACTCATTCTACAAAAAAAAAAATAAAGTGAATGCTATATTTTCCTAGTGGTAATTTAAAAAGGATGGTATGGTATTTTGAAAAACTAACATTTGAGTAATGTCTTAAGGACTCTAGATAGTGTTGCTATCTTGGAAGAAATGGCAGTGGAACTAATATCACTAATACTGCTATTGGTCATTAAGTAATTCATGCTATGCTTTTCTTTAGATAATTGGGAGAAGTAGGCAAGTGATGTGGATATTGCAATGTACTTGTAATATTTTCATTCCTATGAAAAGGAGAGGGTGATGTTTAGGTGTTTTTATATCCCCATTAGTCAGTATGCTTATTGATATGGATTTGACATGGTGATCCTTTTTTTTCATGTCTCTATCTCTTCTTGCACTAGCTTTCAACCGTCTTGTGTGTTTCAGATAGGTTTCCCAAATATTATGAAAGTTTGGTGTGTATATATATATATTATATATTAGTGTAGTTGTGTTTAGAGACTAGTTTTACTAACTTCTCACTTAATGACATATGATTTTGATCTTTCATTTGTGTGTATATTTATATTATATATATATATATATATATTTATTTATTTATTGTAAAATGTGTTTGATTTTAACAGCTGTTCTGGGATAGTGATGACCAAGGCTCCAGAGTCCAGAAAAGAACAAAGAGGGTAAATGTTACATTTAAAGATACTACAAGTCCTAGATCAGCCTCCAGCAGATCTCCAGGTAAGTGATATACTACTTTGTATCTAAAAAGCATGCAGTGTCCACTGAGTTAGATAAGGCTTGATATTTTGTAGTTAGAAAAGGGTCTTAGGAAAAATCTTCAGTGTGTCTGGGGTTGAGGGGGACTTATTATCTTACTGTTTGAAAGACTTAAAGTGGAAGCAGTTTCTCTCCAATATTACTTGAGGGTATCAAGATGATTATCGGAAATAATGCAATTTTTTTCCAAGAGGAAACCATTAGGAATGAGGTCTGGAAGAGAAAATACTGGATGGAACCATTTTCTTTTGTTGTATGCTGTTATTTGTAGTTGAAAGATTATTGCTTGCATATAAATTTTTTGTCAGAATGTTTGAGTGGAAAGTTTGTCATATTTAGACAGTGTACTCTGGAGTTGTATGCAGTTATTTTAAGGTGGCAAGAACAGGAGTGATTGAAGGAGTTTTACTTAGATGTTTACAATTATCTGAATGCCATGTTTTATGAAATTTATTGCAGAATTCGGTGAATAAAAAAGTGAGTTAATTGCTTTGTGTGTGTGTGTGTGTGTGTGTGTGTCTGTGTGTGTGTGTGTGTGTGTGTGTGTGTGTGTGTGTGTGTGTGTTTTTTTTTTTTTTTTGAGATGGGTGAGGAGAAAGGGGGAGTGAGAGTCAGTTTATTATATGTGCCAATATATGTAAATATGGAAGCATGTATATGTAACTGTTTGTGTTAAAACATATTGTGTGAGAATGTTTACCAGCCATCCAAATACCTCCATCACTGTTTGATACCAGCCTCAAAAAAGTTCTGTGATTTCATGATTCCATTACCACGACAAATATAACTGGCATGGATTATCTTTTGACAAATGGGATAGGAATTTGTTTTATTTATTCATTTTCTTGGATGTAGTCAGTGAGTTTAGTGTGATTTTGTTATAAATGCACCATAAAAAGTGAATCATTTAGATCATATTCTGCAACATTGTAATGTGATAAACAAAAGCTTTTTTTTTTTTTTCCATTGATATTGTTAATCAGAGTGTAATATTGAAAACATCTTGGATTTTTTTTTTTTTTCAAATGGAACAAATTTTTCTTATGTTGAAATGTTGGAAATTTAAGAAACATTGTCTCCTCTGGGTGTTCATTTGCAACTTTACATATGTATTTATAAGATATGTCCTTGAGTCTGAGGTCCTATATCCTGATGAAGATGATCAATTCGAATCTTATTGTAAATGAAAGTGTGTGAAAGTAGTGTTATCATAATATACTTTTTTATGTTAGGTTCTCCTAAAGAAGATGCAGTGATGAAAGCTAAGGGTGGCTCATCTTCGCAGCAGCTGGGAGCAATTCGTCTCAAGCCAAGCGAAGAGAGCAATAAAGGTAAAAAAGGGGTTGTTACTTTCAATATGCAAGGTATAACTTACACCCAGAGAGATTCAAGGAGAGGAAAATAAAATGTGAAAAAATTGTAGTAGCACATTTAAATGGAGAACCAACCTTTCATCATCTAACATTAATTTTCCTTCAAAATTTTGAAAGTGAAGAATTGTGTTAATTTATTCAGCAGAAGTGTACTACTTATCAGAACTGTGCCATGGCTTAAGGCTTCATGAACTGAGAAAAGAAATAGGTGTAGGATTGTCTTAACAATGAAATTGAGAAAAGAAAAAAATAATTAACTTTCCTAATGAATTTCTTATGCAGAGTATTTAAAAGCTCTTATAGATAGATTTTTAGTTTTTAATGAATTACATTGTCTTTATATGGATGTCACACCAGGTATGATTTTTAAATTTTATTATTTTTTTTATGCTCTTGGCATCCTGTTTGTGCTCAAGATGTATGCAATATGAATAGAAGACCATAAACATGGTAGCAGATTTTAGCACTTTGTGTGTTTATTAAGTATCTGTTACTTGATGTAAATGTACCACAAATGTGTTCTTGTATGAGAAACATGTACTACTACTTGTCTAAACATCTGATGGTAATACTCCTGGAAGCAGTATACAAGGCTAAACATTAGTTATATGTTTGATCCACACAAGAATCCATTCTTACTTGTAACAATGTATGTGAAAGTATGTGTAGTTGTTTAGAAGCAGGAAAAAAAAAAACATTAAATGAGTTGAGAGAGATTTGAGAAATTCAAATAAATTTTCTCTTTTTCTTTTTTTATATTTCTTTAGAATACATCATTATAAGTTGCAATGCAAAGGGTAGAAGTTTTATCATAGTTTTGCTTTAAGTGGTCCAATTATTTTTTGATAGAATACTTTTTGAGTTTAAAGTTGTAAGATTTCTTGTGGATGCAAGTGATTTATCCCATTGAAGTGTTGAACAGTCATATCAGGTAATAAAGGTGTTGCAGCATTGAATAGAAGTCATACTTAATCTTACTAGGTATGGAAATCGCACTTATCCTACAGCCAATTCATATACCCTTTACTTTCTTAGGGTTGCATAGTGAATAGCAAATAATCTTAATATAATCTACTGCTAGGTATGTTTGGTGCTACTTTGGATGTGGCAGTGATAAGATGATGTTGAAAGGTGTACCATTGTTGAGATCAATATTGAAATGAAACTCTTCAACACTATATTTTCTTGAGGAAGAAATAGATGTTGGCAACATAGCTGAAACAGGATTTTGAAATAGGTGACCTGTCAGGGTTCTCTTCCCAATATTCAGATGTCTTGAGCATATGTATTGTCACTAAAGTTTGGTTAAGTCACTATGCTGTGAATTTATACCATTCAGGGCACCCTTGCTGATACAACAAAGTTGATATGTAAAATATTTACATTCTGGGGAGTTCAAGAGCACAATGAGCACCACTTAAGGTAGCTTGATTAAGGGAACTGTCACTGTACCCTTAAGGGGGCTGTCGTGCTGATTTTTTTACGAATATTTTCAAAAATACTTGGGGGGGGGGGATCTCCCATAATCTAGTAGGCTTTGGCAATCCCATGATGTAATATTTCCTCTAATAAATTAAGGAGTTATGACTAAATCTCTGACCCTCCTACTTCAATGTTTACTTTGTTGCATCCGTGCAAATATACTAGACAAATTTTATGTAATTTTTTTTATTTTTTTATTTTTATTTTTATTTTTTATCCCCCCCCCCATTATTTTGGTATTCTCTGGTAGCTAGCTGGTAATTCTGTTTACTGCATCAGCTGATAGCCATGACTAAGAGACGAGGCGGGCAGTCACTACGAGAGAGTCAGAGGGAGAGGCTACACATCTCCTGCCTCTGCGACACCATCCCATAGATGTACCCTGATGCGCCCTCATCATATACTAAGAGGACACTACTAACGACAGTTGTTATTCCTGTAATTAATAAACACAATATGATCAGAAAAACATCTCAATTACAGCTGCAGCAATTGTTTATTCACTGTAAAGACAATGCGAAGCCTGTGATGACATGTAGTACTTCTACAATCATGTACAGTTATTGCCATTAGTACCTTGCAAAAGAGGGGGACTAGGTACCAACTACATTTCAGAATACCATGTGAATGCTATAGAATGCATTAAGGGGACCGTCCCTGAGAATGGCCACCTTTCCCTACTCTATACATCATAAAAAAATATCGGTTAGAGATAACTGATTGATTCTTTTTGCATGCTATAGAGCAAAGAATTGCGCTTCGTTATATATATATAAATTTTAACTTTGCTCCCCATTGGGGGGGGCACCCCCCAAAAAGTTGAAAAAAATCGCCATTTTTTTTTTTGGTATGTCTTCGGTACATCCCAACTATCAGAGCTCTTTACAGAATATTCCCCCAAAAATGCTAGTGTTAGATCAACTCTAGCCTATAGCCATGTAAAAGGCCGAATTTTGAATTTCCTTTTTTTTTTGGCGGGGGACAGCTTGACATAGAGAACTATTTTTGAATGCGTTTTTCAGCATTAAAATATTATTATTTTTTGATTAAGGCAAAAATTCAAAAATCGGCCTTTTACATGGCTATGGGACGCCGAGGCTCTAGTGAAAGCAACAAACTGCATTTGGATCGCATGAAAATTACGTGAGTTGGGAAGTACCGAAGATTCATAAAAAATAGCCGAGCTACGGCGTTTTGTATTTGGCACCTTGCCAAAGTTCGTTATCTCTGTTATTTTTCTCTGAATCTAATGATATTATATATCAAAAAAACGCTTATTTAGTGTACTTTGCAATGCAATGATTACCAAGTCAATAGGAATTTTCATGTTCAATAGGGACGCTATTCTGTAAAGGTATGTCACTTTTTTTTTTTTTTTTTTTTTTTTTCGTTGTTCATTAAAGTTGATATTTTCGTGTGAAAAGCTTAATAAATGCATTTTACCATAGAGACAACTAATCTAAACCAGATAAAAACCTTTTTTAAAAAAAATATTTTTATTTTCCATTTTATTTTTATTTATTTTTTATTTTGAAGAAATGGGGAACTGTGGATGGCAACATTAGTACAAAATCATTCTAATTATAAAGTCCTGGCATGAATACAACATGGGTGGTTCAATTTTGAGAATTTCAAAAGCATATGAATTTAGTACATTGAATTCGAGAACTTACGAAAGTCGTTGAATATTCCCCATGCCTCACACAGGGGGGGGGGGAGGGGGAGATGGGTCACTGGGTGTTTATAATTTTCGAGGAGGATCATATGTACGTGAACGCACGCACATAAAGTTAAAAAGATTAATCATCATCATTTAGTAGGCCTACATTGACTTTCATATCTAAATAATAAAATTTATTAGTTATCCCTCTCACACCCATTTTCTTTGATAATTGTCAATATTAACAGATTGCAAGGGAGAACAAGTGTAAAGTTTATGATTAGCCATTTGCACCCATTATCTTTACTAAGAAGTGCATAAAATCATGCAGACGCCTATGTGTTGTGGGATATTTGCCAATTTATGGTGCCTAAGACTTACGGTAACGTCTAAACATATTCATTTTTATCGGGAACGCACAAAACGGATGCGATAGCTTTTTGAACGCCAGACGAAGACTACGCATACAACGAGCTCAAAATTCCATATAGTTTTATTTCAGAGCAGGTATTACTGAGTACTATCATCTTCAACATGAAATAATCTGTATCTCGCTTATACATCCGAAGTTTAAAAATCCGACATTTAGGTAACATTCGTATTGAATTGGTCTTTACAACGGTAACTACCAATTTCAAATCAATTCAAATTGCCCCCTGCTGTGATGTACCGACCGTTGAGCGAAATGTAACGGAAATATTTCAATCTTTCCTTATAAGGCTATTTTTAAACATTAGTGCTTCGTATGTGATATACGTATATATTACCACGTAAACTAAAACATATTACCAGGGAGTCTCGATCAAAGCATATTTCGTGTGTAAAAGGACACAAAACATACATTTTTTTTTAGATATATTTCACAAAATATTTCGTCATAAATCACGGTGATATAATTTTTCCTGATATTGGTATAAAAGTGTTCCTTGAACATTCACGAACTCATATCTATGCGCAATGTCATAATTAAATGCCTTATGCACGATTGCCGCAAGCAAAAGTCCACATAGGTGTACCTGGGCGCTCAATAGCGACGTACCTCTCCGGGTGCTGAGGGACTCGCACGCCGGCTGCAAGACAACGAGCCATAGCAGGCGGTTAATACTCGTTTGGTAGTTTCCTCATCCATGTACCTATACTATACGCTAACTAACTCAATTTAACCCCCTCCTCCCCCCTCTCTCAGGGACGGTCCCCTTAAGATTGACAGAGAGATCAGATTTCGAGAAGAAGAAGAAGAAAAGATGATGGTGAAAATGGTGGTGGTAACTTTAAAGCCTGATTTCTAAAAACTACTTTGACAACATTTTTGTTAATGTCTCCATAACTACTGGGGCGATTTCTAATGTGGGTTTGGATCATCCCACTAAACTAACAAGAAATTGCAAAATCATACAGGGCAAAATTTAGGTATTGCTACAGATTATATGTTGTATTATTTTCAACAGTTTCATTCAATGGATAAGTGTGACATAAGAAATTTTGTGATTTTCCATTTTTTTTTCAATAAATCTCGTGTGTGTTATATATATATTATATATATATATATATATATATATATATATATATATATATATATATATAAAATATTTAAAAATTCAAGAAAATCTGATCATATTTGACAAATTTCGTTCTAGAGCGTGAAGGCTCCCCCTATGATAACTGGGCCTGAATTTTTGTGAAGCAATACTAGCCATCAGTTTAGACTTTGTGACAAGACTTAAGCTGTGTACAGGCAGCCCACCTATTGTGAGTCATGCTGCATTTATGTCATAGGCCATTTCGTCATACCCATTACTGAAAGGTTAAGATAGGGCTTGGATTTAAAAAAAAAAAAAAAAAAAAAGAGAGAGAGAGAGAGAGAGGTCGGAAATATTATAGCTTTGAGTCTCAAATTTAGTTTTATTGGGCGAACAAATAACTGAACATGAAATAAAAAAGTGTTGCTGAAAAAAAAAATTGAGGTGATTTCTTCATTTATTATCTAGAAGTTATACCAAAGATTTTTTAATATTTCTTTTATGAATGTCAATATTTGAATTTGAATGTTCAATGAGAAAAAAAAACAAGCATTTAAATTTCATAAAGAAAATATGCCAAAAAGTTAAGATTTCCTTGATGTAAAAGATAATATTTCCTGCTCTACAAACTATCACAATAATAAAGAAAATATACAAAATTATAAGAATGGAAAAAAAAAAAAAATGGTGGTTTGAATATATACATCAATTGTTGGAGTAGCATAATGGTGCTTTACAGACCTAAATCACAACAGCCGTGGCTTTTTGTAAGCTTAAAAATGTTGTAGAGTTGGCAGATATTGATCCAGATGGATTCTATGGGCATATGATTTTGACAAACTTTTACAGTAAAAATAAGATTATTTCATTGCATTTAACACTATGTACAGAAATAACAAAAAAGGCCACTTTGTTATTATTTCCTTACCAAAACTCAGCCATAATGTGTGGTAATGTTGCCAAATTACCCTAAATTTTTAAGAAAACTTTCAGTAGGGAGAAAAATATTAGAATAAAGATTCAGGGTGACAATCCCCTTACCTAAGAAGTTGACAAAATTATTCTTTTCTTTTCTTTCCTTTACTTATAATTTTTTGACCAATATTACTATTTATATAGTCATACAATAAGAAACAATAGAGAAGAAATATAAAGACTAAAGTCTCTCTCTCTCTCTCTCTCTCTCTCTCTCTCTCTCTCTCTCTCTCTCTCTCTCTCTCTCTCTCTCTCTCTCTCTCTCTCTCTCTCTTTCTCTCCCCCCCCCTCCATTACCATAGTTTAGACTTTTTATTTATTAGATGATACCAGCAGGATAGATGAAAAGTTACAGTTGGCTCTATTAGCAGTGAGTTAGGTGAAATTAAACATTAAATTGGATGTTTGACAGGTCATGAGGGAAGGAAATTGAAAGTGGACTTCAGCTTTGTTTTGTGCACTCAAGTTTTTGTGTAGCTGTGTTATTAATATCTTGATATATTAATATTTTTAGTGCAAAATTTAACCATGCTGCTGGTTCTATTGCAAAGTAAAGAGCCCCTTTGTGATTTGAATTGCCAAGTGGTTAGTTTCAAACTTTGAAATGATACCGTGATTACCACTAGCGATAGTATATTTTGAAGCCAAAAATAATAATTTCCAGGCAGCTTCAGAATCAGCGCATGGGGCTGGCCCAGAATCTGCCCATGCGCCGGCCGTGGCCCGCATCGGAATCGGAGCACAAGGTCTGATCCAGCATCACACCGGCGGGATGCCTGGCAATTTTTATTTTCCCAGGTGTCTCACATGTGGGACACCCATCGTAAATGGGTTAAAGCCCAGTGTATAAAAACACTAGCATAATATATTCATATATATTGTACAGAATTTTGAATAAATACTTTCACTAATTGAGATATGCCTGCCATATCCTAGTTTTGCTAGTCTAATGGTATCAGCAATATCCATGAGACATAAGTATATAACTCGCAAATGTAGAGGGCCAACTGTAACTGAAAACTATCTTGGCTGGCAAAAGAAA